CGGGATAAGGGGGGACACGGGGACGTGGTGTCCGTGGGGCTCCCCCCGACACGCGTGGGCTCTCCGCGCAGGCCGCCCCGGAGCAGCGACACGGACACCCCCGGCACCCCCCAACCCGGGTAAGTGGGTCCCCAACCTCCAGCACCTCCTGGGGTTGCTTTAATCAGTATCATTTTTTACTATTTTTTAATTTAAAAAAGCATATTTTTTATTATTTTGAAGAATTATTGCCGTGTTTATTATTTTCCTATATTTTTAATGATTTTTGTCGCTGCGGCCGTGCCAGGCCGGAGGCCGCCGCTCTCCTCCGGCACCCGCCTCCCGGCGGAGGCGGCCGCGTCTCCGATCCCGCACTGAGACGCTCTTGTTGCGCCCTTATTTTCCGCCCCCCGCATCCCTATTCCCTCCGGGAAGTCACGTGCCCCCGGGAAGCCTTTCCCACCCCTCCGCAGCCTTTAACCCCCTTGGAGCATCCCCGGAGCCTTCGCCCTGCTGCATTTCTGGCTCATGGGGTTATTTTTGACCCGTTGCAGGAGGCGCCGCGGTTATTTATCCCCCCGTGCTGCTTTTGCAACCGGAGAGGATATTTAAGCCTCTTGAGCGCTTACGTAACCAGGCAGCACCGGGAAAACAAATCCTGCTCGGAAGGTAGATGCTCCAAGACCCTGCGGTCCGGGTGACTGAGTGGCTCGGGTTATTTTATCCCGATTTGGTCCATTTGCCTGGATTTTCCTAGTGCCGCTGCATGGCCCTGTATGGCATGGGATAGGGGAGTCAAATCCCCCCTGGAATTGCTGCTGTGCCAATCCCAGCTCCGGCATGCCAAGAAACGCATCCCACCACCAACCCACATCCATGGGAGCTGCTGCATCCCGGCCTCGTCTGGGTCTCGGTGCGGCACGGGGCGTTTCCCGCTCTGTTTTCCAGAGCTTAATTGCTCCGTGCTGGAACGGGAGCCGCTCCGAGTGCCAGGAAATGCCCTTGGCCGTGCCAAGGCCGGCGCTTCCCAAGGGGCCTCCACTGCCATCCCAATCCATTCGCTTTCGGCCTTCCCGCCTCCCACACCGCAGCTCCGGCGTTCCCGGGAATGTGCAGCCGCAGCCTCATTTAATCTGCCCGATTTGACAAATTTGGGTCAATTGAGGCTTTTGGGGAGCTCGGTTTCCCTGCTGCGAATCGCGGCTGTTGGAGGAACCGGCGTCCCCGTGTTGGGGTGAACGTGTAGGGGTGCGTGGGGGGTGCGGGACGCTGATTTTTGGGGTGTTGGTGACCCGGGGTGTCCCCTCCGTTGTGTCCCCGCAGCCGCCGCGCCATGGCCGGGCTCCTG